TAGAGTTAAAGCGAGATTTCACATAGGGATTGTCAGGGTATTTTTCATGGCAGCACTGTACATGTGGTTACATATAAATTCTTGCCATTTTCTTGAAGACAAGGCTGTTGTTCAGCAAATTGTGTGAATTGATGTCCACTTAATTAGATAACATTTCTGAAAAGTTATTCGAAAATGTACCGTATAATTATTTCACAGTCCCTCTATCGTGGGTGACACTTTTAAACCAAAAGAAACACACATTGTGTTTCATTTGAAATTTTATTAAAAATTTCTCTAATTAGGAAAAAATAGAGAAAGAAACAAGTGTTATATGGTTATTCATGTTGTCTATGTATTAACCTAGATGAATATAATGCTAAATAGGACAATGTTTATGACTCTATAATTACATACACAATAGGATTTGAATATATATCAATCGAAAAAGTCGAATTTGGGGGATTATTTAAAATTCGAGATAGAGAAAATTACTGGAATTAATTTTTATTGATTGGAAACAGCGGTAAATATATGTACGGAAAGAGTTATTAAAATCTGTCTGTAATTACAAGGGTAAGGTGTCGATGTTTTTTCTGGATATATATTATTTACAATGACCGGTTAACGTCAAACTGTAAAAAAAAGACTCGGGCAAGCCAAACCTGGGAGTTATTTGAGTTATGTTGGCGTTTGTTTGTGTTGTTTGTTATGTAAAGTCAGTCACTGAACAGAATGACGGCGATTAGACACGACCAGGAGATACGATTGATACGGTACTGTCAGTATCAGCATTTTATGGCCAATGATACTATTTCTAACGGTGCCGACTGTCGTGTTGCGAGGGTGTTTTGAGTGAAAAAAATACCTTACCTGTCAAAAAATGTCAAATCGATTGAACTCTTTACTTCTATGAAATACTAACTAATCAACGATTGCATGAAAAAACATCATATTACAATCACAGTAACGTTTACAGCTAGTTAGGACATGGTAGACGATGTTACTTTCTAGATGACTCCGCCATTTTGCTGAAATATGTAACGCATGCGCACTAAGTGACTAGTTAGAGGGCTCCCTTTGCCAGACAACAACAACTCTTGAAAACAATTGCTTTCGCGCGACGTGTTTTCGCGGAAAACGCACTGCTCTATATTCACGTGTATTGCAATATAGAATAAACAATTAAAACTTGAATATATTTATAAAAAGTCGGCCGTAGTCTATTTATTTTCTCTCATATAATTCTGTAAGTACAAGTATTAATTACTCTTCTGTCAACAAATTGACCCGAGCCCGGCCCGGACTAGCCCTGCGTACAGTGCTGTGTGTACGGGGATAGATGTCCCCACCACAGCCCTGCGTACCTCCATAGACAAAGTCCGGGACTTTTAAAAATATATTTTTTTTAATGAAA